AGTTAAAATTTCCCATAAAGGCATTGAACAGAGAGCTGAAAATTAATGTTTATTCCATTAATCAAAACACACCAATACTTGTCAATGTTCCAGTTATTTTTCATACCTATAATTTTGCTTGTTGTTTATTATACCAAGTACTCTTCTGAAACCTTGTAACATTTTGATAGCAGTAAAATGACCAATCCAAACAGTACTCCCACTTACCTTCTGACACTTCATATTTTATATTTTGATTAGAGATAAACTGCAAACTTACAACAATTATAATTGCGGAGATGTTCAATTGGAAACCAGCAAGATCATAATACTGTTAAATTATTGAACTGAAATATTAAAAATATTGCAATACTATTATAAATAATTCAACATTGACTTCTAATATAAAGGATGAATTCAAACTGTTAAGAAAAGATAAAATAGTGACTGGCTACTTACTAAGATGAGACATTAATGTCACAGAAATTACTTTCTTTTTAAAAACTATGCTGAAACTGTTTAATTGCAATAGACACTCCAGGATGTGTCATGCTGGGATAATGCCACTTCTTGAACCACTGAAAGCACTCCATGAGCCTCCAAACTCACCCAAGGCATGGAATCATTATCATAGCATGACACACACCTGCCGTGTCTTATTGCTTAATTATAACCCACCATAGATGCAACTGTATTGAATTTTCAGTCCAAGTCTAGAATTGAATAGAATTGCATTCATTCAATCTTCATAGCCACACTGGCCTATTGGGCTATATTCCTGACTGTTCGGATCACTATGTAAATTAACAGATTTGGATCTAATCTGGCTGAAGTAACCTTTTATTGATAACACTATTAATACAATGTTAGGACAGAACTGACAAATACTCTAGCTTATAATTTAACGACAATTAATTTCCATTCTTAATACTGACTTAACATTTTTAACAAGAAATTTACCTGTAAATATAAAACATGTTGCTCAAGTGCACTAAAGAGCAATGCGGGCTGGAATGCTGAGAGGCTCTGGAGCTTGTTCCAATCGATTGTAATTTTCACCACATCATCTCTGAGGTTAAGCTTCAAAGGGGCAAACCAGCAACATCACAAAAAATACACGACTAAGCTGTATATATAGGATGTCACAAAAATAGTATTTCTTTAGGGTAACATGACTATTTAGCTCAAAGTTATCAGATTTTTAACAATACATTAAAATGCTCCACCTCGTTACCATTTTAAAAGGCCATGAAAGGTGCAATTTTCATAGAAAAGACACAATGGTATCTCATTCTAATTCTATTCTTGGGTCTGTGTAATGGGACCATCTTACAGGTGAAACACCATCCACAAAAGATGGAAACATGAGGCTTTTTTGATACTTCATTATCTAAAACCTTTGGATAAGGGCCAAAATAGGCTTGCCCTATTCAGTACTTCCAGCTCAGAGCATTAAACAGAAGGGGCAGACACATTTATGAAAGTTCTCATACAAATATTTCTTTTTGTTAAATATGTACACAGACATAACTGACATATATCATTACCCTGATGGTTTCTGAATCATATTTTTATCATTTTCATCTTTAACCAACTTTAAAATAATCTAAAAATCAAGATTATTCATACATATTATAAAGCCTAGGGATAAATGGCAACACGTTTATCTACTTCAAATAAAAAACTATTATCTAGCTGTGGAAATCTGAATGTGAAAAACAAATACTCCTCCACAACAGTGAAATAAATGGTCAGAGACTGAATGGAATGGCTAGATCTTTTGCTAACTAGTATTTTCTAATACTGTGTGAGGGGGCTTGTCATATAAAACTTATAAATTGGCTATGTATGACCTATTAGAATAAAATTATAAACAGAAAACTATCAAGAACCTGAATATAAAATTATCATCAAAATCAATGAAAATTTTAGAGTGAAAGCCTCCATCTCTAAGCTTTCAAGTGAATACAAATGAACCTCATAAACTTTTCTAGAGACATGTGTTTATAGCTTACTATAAAGCTATGATGCATGGTAGAATTAAGTTTATTTTTTTTTTCAGAAATCATTTATTAAAAGTCATGTTTTCTACAAAATAAAGGCAAATATTACATTAGTTCAAATACAGATGTTATGAGTTGTGATTCTAATAAAACAAAAAGATGAATCACTGTGTACAAAGAACCAGAAATCCAAAGTTACCCAAAAAAGGCAGTATACTTAATGAATACTGTATGACAAAAATTTACCACCTTTTCCATGAGACAAGAAACATTTAAAGTCTGTATCAGACAACTATAAAGAAATAAGAAATTTTAAATAGGCTACCCTGGCAGAGATTAGATTATATTAACTAAAGTTTTACATTAAGATTACTGCATTAATCTTAGTTTATATTATTTAATTACTGTACTCCTACAGTCCTCTAAGAGATCTACAGTTCCTAACAAATTTATAAATAGAGTTTTGGGATAACACAGACAAATCCTCAACCAAAGTAAAGCATCAAGTTTCCTAAAGAAAATAAACAAATAAAATAAATCTTAATGTTGGGATCATATTCTCCTTTCAATTCAGCATAATTATGTAAGCCTTTCAAGCACAATTAAAGACACTTGGTTTTTTTAAAGAAAACTACATAATGATACAAATTAACTTTAAAATTATCATAATATATCCAACTATTTATTCAACAAATTCCCTATTAGTAATATGAATTCTATGCATTTTTACCCTTTATAACTTGTAAACGTAAAGCATTCACTCAAAAATGTATTGGTGTGACATTAATATGGATTATTTAAGTAAGCATTTTCCGTAAAAAATTAATATGAAACTCCAAGCTAACAATAAATAATGCTTCAACTTGGTAGAATGAGCGCATGCTGTGGCAAGTAATAAGGTTAAAATAAGTAAATTTGAAATCTGGGATACTTTTTAACATTCAATTTTATGTTTCCTATTGAGGAGAGCCAACAATATAATGATACTATGCAGAATGAAATAGCATATGAAACTTACTTTTTTTTTTTTTTGAAACTTACATTAAAAAAAATATCCTATAAACTTGTTGCAAAAGTACATAGTGATTTCTGCCAGGGGCAATATTATAATATTGTGGCTTTCATTCTTCCCTTTAAACAATACATCTCAAAATATAAAGACTATTATCAAAATAGTATTTAATTGATGAGACAATGATTTAATTTTTTGACACCTGTATAGATGGTCCCTTCAATGTGTCATGTAAACTTTCCAAATATGTACTCTCAATATTTTTGACAGGTGACATAAGTAAACTTTAATCACAAAATATGCGAATGTTTAAAATCTGTAAATGAGTTTTAAAAATTCAGTATGCAAAAAGATTTCAAAAGAAATGTTTGAATTATTTTTTAATGTTACTTTAAAAAATTTATCACCACTGAAAATAAAACTGTAAATTACAGGTAAGCATAAACTTTTTTCATCGTGACATTAAAATATAAATAAACCTTAAAATTCCAATATCCAAGACAGAAAACGTTCTCAGACTTTTAAACCATTACAGGTCTTGGGTGATAAGACTAAAATATTAATGTCCCCAAGTCTTTAAAAAATTTTAATAAGTTGGCGGCAAACAACTGAGCTCAAAAGTTACAACCTTTAGCAGATTCTGTTAATAATTGTTCCGTTAGACCAAATTAAATGTTTAACTTAGAGTAATGCTTTTTCTAAGGAGAAACATATTAGGATTTTTAAAAATACTGAAATAACCTTTTAAAAAATTAATTCTCCATCCACTCACGGCTTTTGAAAATAACTTTTTACAAACCAGACAGGTGTTGTTTTCATAAACATTATCCTCGACATAAATGTTTGCTGTGCCTACTACATGCACTAATACCAACCCCATAACAAACTTTTAGAGTAAAAAAATATTCCGTCTAAGATACAAAAGATTTCCTTTGTAAAAGCAAACAAACTTATTTTCAAGTTGTTTATCATTTGTAATATGCTTTGCATTTTATTCCATGAAACAAAATAGTTGACTCGATAGAATAGTGTAAGGAGTACTTTTATTTAAACCCAATTTATTAGGACATTTCTGCAGAAGCTATTCATCAGTGAAATTAGCTAATAATTAAATGACAAACAGTTCTGATGCAAACTCTATCAATCATGGATAACTCATCGAATTTTATGCAAGAAGTATTTACATTAATTCCTTTCATTTTTCCTCCCCATATGAAAGGGTAAGAGATGCACATAACAACCAGAAGGAAAGAAAGAAAGAAAGAAAAGAAAGAAAGAAAGAAAGAAAGAAAAGAAAGAAAGAAAGAAAGAAAGAAAGAGAAAACCAAGTGACTCCTAAAAGCAAATCAACCCAAAAAAAGCGGAGAGAGCTTTGCCAAAACTCTCAGGCCGTTACTTCTATCAATTTCTATCACAAATTCACTGAAGGATAGGGGATGCTGAGCGCCAGGCACCCTCCAAACCCACAAAGCTTTTTACGCCTTCGCCCTCTCCAAGCTTGTTCTTCTGGGAGCCAGGTTTTTCACTTACACTATCCTCTCACTCTTGGGGAGAAGGACCGCCAGCCCGTACGGCCTTCCTCACCCCGACCGCGGCTAGGCTCAGGCTCCTCCGCCGGCCTCAGCTACTCAGTCCCGGTCCCCGGCAGCCCTAAGCAGCCCCCCGCCTCCTCCGCTAGAGGAAAAAAGGGGGGAGGGGCCGGAGAGTTCCCAAACCCCTGCTCTGCTCCCACAGACCACCACTCACTTGTCCCACCAGGCTATGCAGTGAGCGAAAGATTTCGCGGAGCACCTCTTGGGAGAGATTGGGGCTGCAGCTCCGTTCCGGACTCCTGTCACCACTGCTCGAGCGGCTAAGCTCAACGGCAGCAGCCATGACACCTCCGCAGGCTACCCCCGCCACCACCAAGTCGTGCTCACAACACCCGCCCCCCTCCCCCGCCCGCCTTCGTCGCTGGTAAATGACGTAAAAACACAGCGTCTCGTTCAGCCCGGGCCTTCGAGGACCCTCGTGACTGACAAGCCGGTGCGCCAATCAGGTGCAGCTGGAGCGTCACGCCAAGGACCCGGAGCGGGTAGTTGCCGACCTGGCGAAGCTGCGTACGGAATTTGGGACGGTGATTGGGGCGGTGGTCTAGTGAAGGTTAGCGTCTGAAGCCTGTCTTGTGCTTTTAGGTGTTGCTTATGAGTGTTGATAAGAGGAGGCTTAGACTTAAACGTTAGAATTTTAGAAGTTAACATTTTAACTTTTAACATGGCGCTGTGGAGTGGTCTGGACAAAGATTGCTGTTCGGGGGTGCAGCAGGGCCCACACCTCTACACCCTGGAAAACTCTTTCACGTACGCTTGTATTTAGAACATTTTCGCTTCTGCAAAGTTTAAGACTTACACAAATTAACGTGACTAATTTTTCATGTGAGGGAGCAGAGGCTATAAAAGAACAATAAAATGCTCTACTGTTCCTGCTGTACTATCAACGGAAGGAAGGACATTAATTACTTTAAATCTGCAAAATAATTATGTCAAGTTTTAAAACGTGCATCAGTTGCTATTCTCTGAGTGATACTGTAGAGACGCTCACCGAAACCTTTCAAAGAAGTGAGACACTCCAAACGATTCTAACAGTTTAATTCAAATAAGTAATTGCATGCGGCACAATCTTTGAAATTAGAAGAAATAAATGCGAATTGAAATTTGACAGCGTATTACTCATCAGATAGATTTATTAAAAGATATTTGAAGTACTTTTATAGTCCAACATTTAAAAGCTTTGTTGTTCAATTGAAGAAAAGAACAAAGGTTAGAAGAATTTTAAATGTTAAGCTCTGTTAAAAAACAAAACCCGTCAGTTCAGAGATTAGGGACAAGGTATTTAAAATTCTTAATTCTAATAGTCTAATGCATTTACAGTAGAGGAAGCAAAGGTAGAAACTTGCACAATATGTATTCTTCAGTTTTAGAGTAGGCTGAATGAAAAGGAGCAGAATAGGCATCAAGGAGCTGGAATGGGGTCAGTCGGGATAAAAGAACGCCTTTGACCTGTCCCTAGGGAGCCTCTTAATTAGGCTTTCATTTCCAAAGATCACCAGGCTTGACAGGATCTTGAGAAATCTTGTCTGTTCCCTTGTTCACAGCAAGATATACAATTTATAATCCAGCCTATGTCTAGAAACATCCAGAAAAAGATTTCACAATATATAATCCCAAATTGAGCAACTTTCTCATTCAAGGCACTCATCTCCATCTCTAATTTAAATTCATGATTCTTTGCAATGCTGCATATTTTCTTTGCCTCTGGTTCTCTTTTTAGAAAAGAATAATTATAACAGGGTAACTAGAAAAAAAATTTTATGTAACGAATTAGCAACCAGTTTCAGATCATTTGTTTTCATCTAGATGTGAAGTTTTTTTTTTTTTTTTTACCAATATTCAGGACACTGTTAGGAAACGGTTGGGGACATGTTTTGTATATTATAAGAATACCCCATAGATGTTTGGGGTGCCTGAGTGGCACAGTCAGTTAAGTATCTGCCTTTGGCTCAAGTCATGATCCCAGGGATTGAGCCCCACACTGGGCTCTCTGCTCAGCAGGGGGCCTGCTCCCCCCCCTCGCTTCTGCTGCTCCCCCTGCTTGTGCACTCGCTTCCTCTCTCTCTGTCAAATAAGTGCGTAAAATCTTTTTAAAAATACCATTTTTAATACAGTAATTCTTGTTCCTGTCTGTGCCATCACTGATTTAGAAATTTCAAGTTTTACCTGTTCCCTTGAACCTCTATTATAGAATTGATGGTCATTTGATTTTATATAAGTTCTCTATGTAATTCTGTGTTTCAATATCCAGACTTACATCTTGGTATTGCTTACTGAGATAACATTTGGGGTTTAACTCTTTTATGCATTATTTCTACTTTCTAAGGACCTTTCTTACTCCTTTATGATGTTTATTACCTTCATTTTGGAAAATTTCTTATTTTTGTCAATTTATTTTAAGTAGAAGAGTTTGTAGGCTGAAAAGATGTGGATTTCTTTGGGCTAACTTTATTTTTTTTAAGATTTTATTTTTTATTCATGAGAGACAGAAAGAGAGAGGCAGAGACACAGGCAGGGGGAGAAGCAGGCTCCATGCCGGGAGCCCAACGTGGGACTCCATCCTGGGTCTCCGGGATCATGCCCTGAGCCCAAGACACACACTCAACCACCGAGCCACCCAGGCATCCTCCTTGGGCTAACTTTAAATAGAAATATGTAGATAGTAATGTATAACAAAAATATGAAAGTTATGACATGTAGAAAAGGAATAAAGGAAATAATTTTCCCTTTATAGAAGACTAATTATAGTTTATAAAGTGGGTTTCTCAAAAATCTGCTGCCTAGCAGAAATGATTCAAAGTGTTAGTCTTAGCATTACCAGCAGAATTAGAAATACTGCCCTGCAAGTTTATGATAAGAATCAATTGAGAGGATAGAAAGTATAAATGAAATCTGGGCTATCTATCTTATCAACAAAAATGTCCTTTATAAAGAGCCTTAAAGGCACAAATCCACTAAATAATCCAGTGCACAGCAAAATGCCTGCAGTATTATATGTGCTCAACAGATGTTTGTTCAATGCATATAGTACAAATTTTAACTAATGTAGCAAAGGAAAAATACATATATTTATCTTCTCTGGCTCCCCATCACCTGTGGATAAGTGCAAGTTCCTTAGAATGGCATCTTAGGTTCTTCTCATGATCTGGCCTTTGCCTAAATTTTCAGCCTCATTTTCTGCCACAAACCATCTTGTGCTTAATGCTTCTGAAACTGCCTTTAGTTCTTCAAAACTTTACTATTTTTGCATTGATATTTTGTTTTTGTTTTTTAATTTATACCCCTGCTTGTAAAACGCCTATTCCTCCTTCAAACTCCAGCTCAGAAATCTCTGGGAAGTCTTTCCTTAATTCTTCTCATCAAGAGTTTATCTTTTCTGCTAAACTACTACAACTTGTATATACTTTCCATTATTGTACTTATTCAGTTGATATTGAAATTTCCTTGACTCTGAGTCTGTCTCCTCATTGAACTATGAGCACTTATGTATCATGTTTTTGTGTTTAAGGTTTGCTATAGTACCTGGCATACGGCAATTACTTAGTATATGCTTGTTGAGCTGAATTTATTTGCCTATCTAGGGTGAATAGATATGTAAAATGGAAAAAAAATTGCTACTCTTGACGGGAAATTGTAACACATAGTAAAAATGATATACAAACTCATTTCAAATAACAAAGCATGTCTGCTTATCCTCTTTTGGAGTAATACCTGATTCAAAGTGCTCAAATTTTTCTTAATGAATAAATATAGCTAGCCTTCATAACCATTCTCGTGAATGATAGCCATACCAATTAATTGTACCTTCTATATGCCAGACAATCTGATCAGCAGGGAGATATAAAAACGAATCAGACAAGGACTCTCTCAAAGAGTTCCAATTTTAGTGGGCTAGAAGTATATGTAAACAAACAACTATGATATAATGTGACAGTGATCATTTTAGAAGTATGTATAAGGCAATACAACTAATTAGTTCCTTTGGGAAGATGTTTGGATTCAGTGTCAGGAAAAGCTCTAAACACTTGATTTAAAACATGGATTGAAGCTCAAATGATGAGTTTATATTTCTCAATTTAGATAAAGCATGAGAAGCAACTTGAACATGCTTAATGTGTTTAGGGAGGATACACTGAATGGAAGTAAGGCTAAGTCAGCATTTCCCAAAGTTTGTTCTGCTGAGTACTAGTCCTGTAACATACTTCTCTTAACAAGTTTCAATGGCCAAATAAGTTGGAGTATTATTGACTAATTGTGTTGCCATGTCATGAAATGGATCACAACATTCCACTTTCTATTAGCAAGGAGCTCATACTACAATCAAAGGACACAACTAAACAAATCCCAGAATCCCATCTTTGAGGATATGTTTACTGGGATTCTCCATACCAATTTCTGAGTCAGCCAGAGTTTAGTTAGAAAATAGAAGCCATACCTGTTATTTGAACAGAGAAAATGTTAATAAAAATTGTTATCAGGATAAATTGTTGACTCAAAAGATAATAAGAAAACAATAATATATCATAAAGTTAGCAAATTCAGGAAACAGCTAATCCATCTTGGGCTAGGGGAACAAAAGGAAGAGTTTGGAATTATTAAAATTTAGCTGCTTAGAGGAACATTCCTGTGAAGTCCCCCAGAGAAGGAGGTGGTGCTCAGCTGGGATTGGTATTTTAAGAGGTGAGGGGATGTGATGAGGCTGATTTGGTGAGTGTCTGAAACTGCAAAGAGAGCATCCAAGCACTGAAGGACAATTCCATGCAGTCTGACAAACATATAACTGGAATCCCTAAAGGAGAATAGAGAGAGATTGGGATAGAAGAAACATTTCAAGAGATGATGGCTGAGAAATTTTTTTTAAAGATTTTATTTATTCATGAGAGACAGAGAAAGAGAGAGGCAGAGACACAGGCAGAGGGAGAAGAAGCAAGCTCCATGCAGGGAGCCTGATGTGGGACTTGATACCCGGACTCCAAGATCACACCCTGGGCTGAAGGCGGCGCTAAACCGCTGAGCCCACCCTGGGCTGCCCAATGGCTGAGAAATTTCCAAAAATATTGAAAGCATCAAACAACAGATCCAGGGACGCCTGGGTGACTCAGTGCTTGAGCATCTGTCTTCGGCCCAGGGCATGATCCCAGAGTCCCAGGATCGAGTCCCACATTGGGCTTTCTGCATGAAGCCTGCTTCTCTCTCTGTCTGTGTCTCTGCCTCTCTTTTTGTGTGTCTCTCATGAATAAATGAATAAAATCTTAAAAAAAAAAAAAAACCCACAGATCCAAGAAACCCAGAGAATTCCAGTATTAGTTATGTACTGCTGTGTAACAAATTACTCCAAAACTTAGTGGCTTAAAACAACAAAAATTACTTGTCTCCTAGTTTCTGTGGGTCAGAAATAGGAGTGGCTTTGCTTGGTAGTTCTGTCACCCACTGTGGAGAAAGCCAGCAAGGCAGAAGCCATAGTGCCTTTTAGGACCTAGATTTTCAAGTCATACACTCTCACTTCCATCTGATTCTATTTGTCAGTAGCAAGTTATGATATTTGGTCCATAT